GTAGACTGTCAAGTGATCACTAGACAACAACAGAACTTTGGTGACCAGCCAAAAGCTTAACTGTCAAAATAGCTGCTGAGTTTCAGTGGGGAGAGGACCCAGATGATCAAAAGAAAGCTCCCATCCCAGTCCTTTGGTTCCCAAAGGTTTTATATGAATCTAGTTTAGAAACAATCATCCAGGCAGTTTGCGTCCTTTGGATTCTAAAATGAAAGGAATTTGAACTCGCACACCTCCTATTATTCTTCAATTCATCCTTCCTATTTCCCCTCTCACAGGAAAAGTTCCAAAAAATTCAAAAAGTTGTGCGCCAAGGGCACTTCCGAGAGCAAGAATCTGCTCATTAATGTAAGTTGGAGGCTGGGGTCTAGGGCAAAAGTGTTTGGACAAGAAAGAGGAGAACTTGGAAGAAGAGCTGGGCCAGATTGTATTTTTTTAATTTCTCATTTAAAGTTTGAAAACCCCCCAGTTGTATCTTCTGAAATTAAGAAGGTGGGCTATTTGTCCTTGGTTGGGTTGGAGGCTTGGGGGCACATGAGGCTCTGGTTATGGGATGTTGCTGGGTTCTCCAGGAAGGGGTGATGAGCTGGCAGAATTAGCAGGTTCTCTGGCTGCCATTCTGGTCTCTCCCACTGGTATGTAGCTCCCTCATACTGCTGGGTGGATATCATAAGACATCCTTGTTCCAGTACCTTAGTCCCAGAATTCTTTCAGGAAATCAGGACCTGTTTCTCCTCAGTCTTCACTAAACCTCTGACAGAAGGGGGCACCCTGACTATAGCAGAAATTCCACTGGGACAGGTGGTCAAAGAGCAGCTCAGCTCATGTCCCAGTGGGTACACTTGGGACTGATTATGGATGTGTGGTCATTCTCCTCCACCCCTTTGCACACACTGATAGGCCTTTAGATTCCTACTTCAGTACCTAGTTGGCAGCAACATTATGTCCAGATGGAGAGAATTACCTTGAGGACTCCTGTATTCAGAAGTGGACCCTAACTGATTAGAACTCAGATTTCATTTCCCAGGGAATTCCTTGCCTTGTACCTTGAGTTGATGCCCTGGCCACATTCTAAATGGCTGAGCAGAGGCTTTGTCAAAAGAACTCCCTTGGGGGATTCATGGGAGAAGTGTTGGGGATGGCTCCCAATCTAGCTGTAGGGCACATTGCATCAGGGCTGGGACAGGCAGACTCTTCTCAAACATACTGTCTGAGACACTACTCTATTCAGATGGGCTTGGCAGGGTGCCTGGACATTCATCAAGAACTCAGAAGATGGGACAGTGGTCAGTAGTGGTGCAATGGTCTGGGGTGAAAGCAGTTGAGATTTTACTTCTAGCTGGCAGGAACAGCTGGTTTCTCTTGCAGGGCTCTTGGAAAGTCACTCACCTCTCTGTAACCTCAGATTCCTCCTCTAGAGAGGAAAGATGAATTCAAATGGGCTTTTAGTCATGTCCACTAGCTGTACATATTATGTACACTTTCATGGACATATTTGTACATGACAATTTCCTTCATATTTACTTTTTTAAAAATGGACTGACTTGATGAGTGCAAATGGTTATCTCATTGATTACATGTTTTTTGTTTTGTTTGGTTTGGTTTGGTTTTGTCTCTGTTCTTTCTAGTACTAGGGATTGAATACAGTTGCTTTGCACTAAGCAACATGCCCAGCCCTTTTATTTTTGAGACAGGATCTTGTTAAGTCACTTAGTTGTCCCAGTCAGGCTTGAATATAAGATGCTCCTGCCTCTGCCTTTCCAGAGTGCTGGAATTACAGGTGTGTGTCAACATGCCCAGCTTATACTGGTATTTCTTGCATTAAAGAGACTTTTCGTATCTCAGAAACATTTTCTTAGGACTCGCCTTTTAAGTTTTTCCTCTACTTTAGTAGCATATATACCTCCTCACAATTTTTAAATAAAAGGAAATACTTATTCACCAAGCATTCTAAAGATGTGTAAAAGGTCACTGCCTCTTTTACATATTTTTTGCACAATGTGCTTAAGGTGGAAAGGTGCATAAACATTAAGTAAAAAAATCTAAAGAACTTTGTCTTATTCAACTATAAACTCATCATCCATTGTTGAAGTGAGTGCCATCACCTCTCCAAAGCTCTACCCCTGAACATATTAAACTACTGGCAAACATTTCTGATCTAAACCCTATTATCTGCTTCCTTTTAACATGTAACACTAAACTAAAATTTGGAGCTGGATTTGGGCTGATTCTAGTTACTTTCCTTCAGAAACTACTTAGAGCATGTGGGATTTATTTTGTATCAAGTATATGACATATTTCCACAATGGTTTGCTTTTACAATTAATTACATGATTATTTCTCAATAACAAGTGTTGCAAGAAACATTTTTATACACATCGTTTCTCCATTGCCTATTCATTTCCTCTGATGCATCTGTAGTGCCCAATTTCCAATAATTTCAACTTTTCATGTTTCTAGGAAACCTAGATAACTGTTTTATTACCATAAAAGAATTGTCTATATATAATTCATTTTATTAATATTTTGTTTATATGTTGTTCATAATTATGCATAATATCTATTTACTGGCATGTAATTGTACATATCCACAGGGGTACAAAGTGCTATTTAAGTATGTGTATGTGTACTCAAAGTGAAATTATCTATGATCTCAAAACATTTATTCTTTCTATTGGAACATGCAAAACCCTCTCAAACCTAGATGTTTTCAAATACACAACTGGCAACCACTTTGGCATGTGCTGTGGTACATTAGAAATTATTTCTCCTAGGGAGGGCAGGGAAATGGGGAAAATGAGAACCAAGACCTGGCATGTAAAGGTACAAGGTCCCCACGATGAATGTAACTGTCCTGTATGCCTAGAAAGTACCAATAAACTCAACGGAAAAAAAATAAATTATTTATCCTATCTAACTTTACTCCTGAACATACTCATTGCCCTCTCCTTCCATCCCCCATCCTTCCCAGGCTGTAGAAGGAAGTTCGTATTTAGGGCATTCTGGTTTTAATGTTATTAAGTTAACTAATAATTCTGCGTCCACTTATTATGCCAGTCTTGTTTCACTTATTTTATTATTTCTATTTTGTAGACATCATTCACAAGGTAAAACCAATGAATAAAGGTTTTCCTACAGTGATCACAGACATGTCTACTCCTTCAAATCACCTTTCACTGTAGACTAAAGATGAGTTGCAAGATATTTAAAACTCTTGTAAAACCCTAAGACTGACAGTCCTGTTAGTACATGATAGCTTGAATCGAGATGCACCCCCAAAGCTTCACACACTCCTAGGTGGAGCTTTTCGGAGGTGGCTGAATCTAGGGATGTGAATGTGGATTAAGGGTATGTGATAAACTGGTTTGACAAAGTTCCTGGTGTGGATAATGGAAGCCCCACCCTGGATGTGGGTGGCACCAAGCAATAGGCTTGTAGCTTGGATGGAATATAAAAGAAATAAGGCAGTCTGCTTGCTGCCTCCTGCAGCTCTGCCATGGAGTGCTTGCTTCTCCTCTTCAATGCCTTCCTTTCTGCCATGCTGCCCTGCACTGGAGCCAGCCAATTATGGACTGAAACCACTACAAACTGTTAGCTAAAATAAACCTTCCTCCTTTAACTTGTCAGGTTTTTGTTTCAGCAACAACAACCAAAAAAAGACAAAGTATATATTTTGTTCTGTCTCTAAAAAAATGTTTTTACTCTATAAGCTCTTGCATAAAGATAGATGTCCTTTTTTCTATAAAATGTTCAAAACAAAATTTTTCCTTACAAATCAGTGTACATACTGATAGTTGAAATTTTCACTTTGCAATTAGCGTTCTAAGATGGCCATGGGAAGACACCATGACTAGTGGGAGCTGTCTCAAGTGGGCAGCAGGGGAAGTGACAGAGGAGACTCCAGACTCACAGAAACTGGGATAATGAATGAATGTTCTTTTAGTTAAGTCGGGGGCCTTTGCTTATGGACAAATACAAATCTCATACTCTCTACAATGCAACAGAAGCTCCTAAGTTGGAGATTTCAGTAGTAATTCACATATATTATCATTCACTTCAGTGCTGCAGCTTTCTGCCTGACCAGTATGTGGTACCATGAGAGCCAAAATATGCAATCAGAAGATATGGCCACAAAGACCAATATCTTGCAAAAGAGCTCTCTCTTTCAGGTCTCTTTCTTTGGGGGAACATTCCTAGACATGCCATAAAATCCTTAGTGTGTCAAAGTATAGAACTGGCCTATGGGCTCAGCCCAAAACAACTACTAGAGGAAAGACTAGTACCACATATTTAAAAACTCAATCATGGCACTGGGGGTTAAGCTCAGTGGCACCGTGCCTTCCTGGCAACTGCAAGGTCCTGAGTTCAATCCCCGGTTTAAAAAACAAAATTGGTAGAATGCAACAGAATATTGTTTGGCAACACAACAGCCATCTCACTTTTTGTCAGTGTAATGATTTGGCTTTGTATCCTGATTCTAGTTTTTCTGGTATCAAGGACTGAACTCAGGACCACATGCTTGCGAGGCAAGCGTAGAACCACTGAGATAAATCCCCAGACCCAGTCTACCAATTTTTAAGACTAAATCTGTAAATTGTAATAATGGCTATCATCATAGAAGTTTATCACATACAGGTAATATCCAAAACACTTTGTTTAATTTACTACTCATAATAACCCTGTGACAGGTTCCATTATTATGCTCTTTTTCTATATAAAGAGAAGCCCAGTGAGGTCTGGGTCTAAAGGCATTGTATGCTGCCAATTTTCTGGCAGGTACAGTCACAGGAAAGAGAAATGTATATATACATCGGTTACACAGTATTCAGTCCACACGCTCACACCTATGCTGCTGCCCTATTTAAAAGTATGTGAAAGAGGAAGAAAAGGGAAATATTCTTCCAGAGATTGATTTCCACTGAAAATGTTCACTGTTGATTAAATTAGCTCAGATTTCAGTTGAGAATAATTACATGCTTGATTTATTATATTTCCATATGAATGTTTGGTAGCTTTACACATTAGAAAAAAACTGTTACAAGATATTTATAATGTCCATACATTTATAAACATTAGGAGAAATGAAAAGAAATAGTATAATACCAGAGACAATATAAAATAAAATATAAATGGCCTCCAATGGCACTTAATGCAGAAAATTTTAACATATGTCAAAATACTTGACGTATTTATGCTGAGAATTGAAAACAGGACCTCATGCATTGTAAGCATATACCCCACCAATGAAGTAAATTCCCAGCCCCAATCATTATATTACAAAAACTATATATATGCTTGGCACAGAAAGTATGTTAATACAAAATACTATTATGGGATATTTTGTGCACTGTAGGCTGGTAAACAGCATGTCTGGCCTCCACTAAATGCCGACAGCAATGCCCAAAATCCAACTTCAGCAATCACAAATACCCAATATACTCTTAACAGAAAATACTACCATTCATAGTTATATATACTCATATACAGTGAAATATTTTTAAATGATTCCCAATACTATATTTAACATTTCCATTTGAAAAACATTTACATTACATAAACTGTTTTCCTCCTTTATGATTAATTTCTGATACATAAAATTTGGAAGGCTTGTCAGGAGCTTTCATACATGAAACAAATTTGTGAATATCTGCCTTATTCAAAGTAATCAATGAAATTTTCCTGCTTACTATTCACCATGTGCTACAATTTCTCAATAAATGCTTTTGTTTTCCATAAATTGACATGAAAATAACAGGTGTTGGCAGAGGTTTCTCTTGTGTGTAAATTCTGCAATATCAAAAGACACATAACATCTCTCAGAAAGCTTATAAAATGAATTAGCTATAGTGGGTTTGCACTATAATGCAAACAAAACACAATGGTTCAACAGAGTATTTCTCACTCATGTAAATTAAACATGGAATATTTGGAGATAAAGGTGGGAAGAGCTCTGCTCTTTCAGATTATGTTTCTCTTAAACACAGTGACCCATGGCTCCCAAGACCAGTCTGCTGGTGCCAGGTTTGCTACAGGTCCAAGTGCATAAGAACTCAGAAAGAAGAACTTAGAAAGAACGTAACAGATTTGGGGGGCGGGTCTAGGCTTGAAATATCCACATGCTGCTGTACAGTTCCAGTATATGGTCCAAAACATACTATCAGTGGCTGAAAAAGGCAAGCTACATATCCTACTGAAAACAATACTCTTGGAAAACATATAGCCAGTCTCTGCTGGAGAGGACTACTGTGTGTGAGCTCCTTCATGTCTGTTAATGTGTGCCTTTTCACAAAAACTTTTATTTTAGGTTGTCTTCTCTGTGCAAATTCTCTGATGTCCTGTCAGGCTGGCTTCTGATAAATTTTTTACATTTAGTTTATTTACATAATTTCTTCCCTGTGTGTCCTCTGATGTATAATGAAGGATGATTTATGGGAGAAAGTTTTCTTACATTTTTCACATTCTAACTGTTTCTCATTTTCATGAGTTATCTGATGCCTGGTGAGGTTTGACTTCTTGTGAAATGATTTTTCACATTGCTGACATTCATATGGTTTCTCACCTGTGTGAGTTCTCTGATGTATAATGAGGGATGCCTTATGGTAGAAAGTTTTCCCACACTGTTTACATTCAAATCGTTTCTCAGTTTCATGTGTTAACTGATGCCTGCTGAGGTATGACTTCTGGTGAAAGGATTTCTCACATTCTTGGCACTCATAGGGCTTTTCACCTGTATGAGTTCTTTGGTGCACAGTGAGATGTGACTTACAGTAGAAAGCTTTCCTGCATTCTTCACATGAATAAGGTTTGTTACCTGTGTGACTTCTCTGATGCACAGTGAGAGATGACTTATGGAGGAAAGTTTTCTTACATTCTTCACATGCATACGGTTTATTTCCTGTGTGAGTTCCCTGATGTACAGTGAGTGCCGTCTTATGATTGAATGTTTTGTTACACTCTTTACATTCATATGGTTTCTCACCTCTGTGTGTTCCCTGGTGTGTACTGAGGTGTGACTTCCGATAAAACGACTTTCCACACACATTACATCCATAGGGTTTTTCACCTGTATGAGTTCTCTTATGTACAGTGAGATTAGATTTACGATTGAAAGTTTTTCTGCACTGTTCACATACATATGGTTTGCCACCTGTATGAATGCCCTGATGTATTGTAAGGTGTGACTTAGAGTAGAAAGTTTTCCTACATTCTTCACATTCATATGGTTTCTCACCTGTGTGAGTTCTCTGATGTATTGTAAGGTGTGACTTAGAGTAGAAAGTTTTCCTACATTCTTCACATTCATATGGTTTCTCACCTGTGTGAGTTCTCTGATGTATTGTAAGGTCTGATTTACAGTAGAAAGCTTTCCCACATTTTGTACAGTCATAAGGCTTCTCACCTGTGTGAGTTCTCTGATGTATAATGAGGGATGATTTATGGTAGAAAGTTTTCCTACATTCTTTACAATCATAAGGTTTTTCACCAGTGTGAATTCTCTGGTGTCTATTGAGGTGTGACTTCCGGTAAAAGGCTTTTTCACACATATTACATCCATATGGCTTCTCACCTGTGTGAGTTTTCAGACATCTGCTGAGGTTTTGCTTCTGGTTAAAGTTTTTCCCACATTCATAATCTTCATATAATTTTGCTTCTCTGTGGATTCTCTGATGCATATTTAGTTCTGTCTTTTGACAGAAGAATTTCTCACATTCATTACATCTATAGGGCTCTTCCCCTGCATGTGTTCTGTGATGTTTTGTAACATATAATCTGCTAATGAAAGGTTCTCCTAAATCACTATTTTCATAATATTTCTGTCCTTTGTGTATTTTTACATGGTTAATGAGTGCAGCCTTTTTACATAGTGCTTTATGACAGACATTATATTCAACTGATTTCTCCCTCACTTGGGTCATCTCTTGGGAAATAAATGCTAACATATCAAAGTCTTTCTCATATTCACTGAACTTACTGGAAGTCTCTCCCACGTGAATCTTTTTATGTGCCAACAATGCTTTCATGTTGTAGGCGTTCTCTTGTCCACAATAATGAAAATGCTTTTGTATACCTTGAACTTTGTTATGCAGATTAAGATGTTCAGGATGTCTTAAGGATTTTCCAGTTACATTAAGATCAACAGACTCCTCTCTAGTTCGCACCTCATGTGAATCACCAGGGAGAAGCACATTCTGCCATATGTTAAGTTCCACAGGCTTCACTTCTGAATAGTTTCCATTCTTTATATTCAGAACTGAAATATGGTTTGAGTTCACATTAAATGGTTTTCCCAATTCAACTTTGTCCTCAGCTGATGTGGTTACAACTTGCCAAAAATGTTCCTCTTGATTTTCCTGGTTTGTCTGAATAAGACCATTTACTTTCTGGACATCTAAAATAATAAAATAAAATAAAATAAATAGTAATCTCTATGAAACAAATGTATGGATTTCTTCTGGATTTCAAACAAAGGTAAAGAAATGCCATATCCTAATGATATAAGATTTCAAAATAACTTGATTTATGACACTTGTGGGTTTCATACCTAATGAACCCAAGAAATTACATTAAAAGGTTACAATGTCAAGTCATATCATACTGCTTTTATTCCTTTGAAATATGGGGAGATATACAGTTAGAATATTCACATAATGTCTAACTGTGGGTTTCCACAATGATTTTTATCTTCAATTTTTCTCTGTACTTTTTCATAATTTTGTTAAAACAGCTGTTTTTAAGATCATCCTACTATGCTTCTCTTTCAGATTTGTAATGACAAAACTTTCTTAGACTACCTAAAGGATTTAATCTTGGTTGACTTCCCTCTTACCTTAGCAGTTAAACTCTGCTTACCATTGTTGCAATATATTTTTCTAAATATACACCTAAGGTTCTGGCACATGTATGTCTGCCTGGGAACACCCTGCTTCAGACAGCTTTTGTGTTTAAAGATTCAACTTTCTTCTACTTGGATAGAAAATGGAATTTTTATGCAAATTCATCATGTCTAAATGTCTTTCACAAAGAAAAGTATAAAGGCTAACTATGAATTTCATCCTTGAAGAAAATTGGAGACTTGCAACATGAAATTGTTAGTAAACTTGTTCTTCTTATCAAAGGTCTTTTCTGGTTATTCTACAAAGTCCAGGATCCCATACATTCCATGCACATATGTAGGTACTCCTCATTTTCATAAATTCTGATGTTTTTATATACAGGGCTTGATACTGAAATTTTTTCTGGGGGGAGACAGGGTACTTTGTAGTGTGGGCTTGCCTTGAGCTCACTGTGTAGCACAGGCTGGCCTCGAACTCTCAGCAATCCTCCTGCCTCAGCCTCCCAAGTGCTGGGATTACAGCACCACCATGCCCAACAATATTGGAATTCCTTTCTCATTTTCTTACCAATTTCCTAGTGACTGCCTAAATAACTATGACTTAAATACTGATTTCCCAATTTGTATCTCCTTTATACTCATGATCATTTATGACTCTAAACTTTATAAACACCTTTGTATTATATGCCATATTTAGAAAGTGGACATCTGAAAATTAAAATGAAAAAACATCTGAAAAACTGCTTTTCCTTTTCAGATTTGTCCAACCTGTGGCTCACTTCCCCACCATACCACAATTTTTAAGAAAAAAGAAACTGTCCTGAAACACACATAAAATATGTAACATATTTAAGTAACTAGATCGTTTTCTAATAATTTTTATTATAACATTTTTTAAAAGGCAGATTACACATTAGACACCATTCCTAAAATAACATGCCATATTTGGGGGTGGGGTGCATGCCAGGAATCAAACTCAGATTCTTGTGCTTGTAAGGCAGGTGCAGTACCACTGTTAAGTCCCAGCCCCCATATTGTATTCTTTATCTCATCTTCATACATTCTCTGTGGCTTTTATGTAACTACCAAACACTATATATTTTGTTCAGTATTCTCCATTCCCCCCAGTACTAGGGATCAAACTCAGGACCTTGTGACTGCAAGGCAGGCACAGTGCCACTGAGCTAAATCCCCAGCCCAGTTCAATTATTATCTGTGAAAAAATGCATTTGTAATGCATTGTATTAATCCTCACAATTAAAAAAGATCAGTGTCTATGAGGTAATCAAAAAGCAATGCTGGGCCGGGTATTTAGTTCAGTGGTTCCACCACCTGCTTTGCAAGCACAAGTTCCTGTGTTTGATCCCTGGTTAAAAAAAAAAAAGACAAATGTTGAAAAAACATATACAAAATATATACAAAATATATACAAATGGTTGAGGGGAGAAAAATCAGGATATAAACATGGAAGATCCAAGAATTTAAAGAAAAGATCTAACTAAGAAAAATGTGTAATATCCATATAAAAATTAGTTTTTTGGTAAATCTAACAAAATATACATGAATTAAATGTGAGCGCCCTCTTTCTAAGCTATGAAAAGCCAAGTCTAAAAAGAATGAGACCAGCTGTTGGTACATGAGGAAAAATAGTGAAAATTGGCTCTTCATGGCTATATTTGGTGAGCACTCATCATCCTGATCTCCCTGCCCAGTATACATCAACTGACCTGGGAAGCTCTGGCTTGGGGCTTCTTCTACTATGCATGGCCCAGATCCTTGTTCCAACTTGAAGATCACATCAGGTTTGGTACTGCAGTGTCCTGTTAATGGTAAATAATATGAGATTTTTACTAAACTATGTGAGGACCTCAGGAGAAAGACATCTCCACCCGAAGAAAATGTGAACCAGGGAACGTTGTGACATTATCAAGAAGTAGCAGTCACAGATAGCCCTGAGATAGCTCAGTCAGTTCACACCTACATGACAACTTCTACTGGATAGTGAACAGATGAAATATGTAAAGGAAAAAAGAAAGCCAGAATAAGAATCAAAGCAGTCTCCAACCTGGGCAATGTACCACCCTATGAATCACACAAAACTTTTAAGGGAAGAGTGAAGGGGATAGCAGCAGCTGTGCCAAACTGAACTCCCAAGACACCACTGTCCCCAGAGCCAGACGAGCTGTGACTCCTCAGTCACAACATGGCCCAAAGTCTATAGTGGGAATAAGAAAGTACACTCCTGCTAGGGTATTGGCTCCCAACACAAGGCCAGAAACCAAGCATCTCTGAAACACACAAAGCACTCTGGGAAAGCAGCCAAGAGGTTGGTCACAGCTGAACACTCAACTATGTAGTCACTCCACTGGCAAACAGCCCAGAATCTGTGATAAGAATAGTAAAGTACTTCCAAACTGATGGGCAGGTCCAACAACCATGCCATCCTCAGAAGACTGAGTAGAACTAGAAATACTCCATTTTGGTTTGGGCTTCTGCTTTGTTGGCACTAGGGAAAAGAGAGAAACAAATGCCAAACTCAGATGCCAAACTCAGAGATCTGAGACAGCTGGAACCCAGTCAATGGAGGTGGACAAAAACAACACAGCTGAGAAAAAAAAAAATCTCCTTAACTCTGGACACCAGTGAAATCACAGAGACAGAGAGTCAAGGATGGGTGGAAATCCTGCAAGGTTATGACTGGCTGAGACTTACTTGGGGGAGCAGAGGAGATCCCCTACCACTGAACTGAGAACACTAGAGGGCCCTGATCACAGGAGACTAAAGAGAGCACAGAAAAAATGGCAGAAGGAAGCTCAGGCCAATCAAAAAACAGGACAAATGCCCTTTTATTGTCTCCTTCTTTTACGTTTTGCCTTTTATTCTTTATCAGTAGTTTGTGTAAAAATGGCCAGTCTTTAGGTATGTGTGAGTATGGCTGTATTGGTTTTCCACTTTAACTCCACAATATCCTACTTTGTTTTGTCATATTATCCCATGCAAATGGTTCCTCACTAGGAATATATGTTTCTTTCACTCTTAATAAATTTGATACAAATCACTTTCTCCTGTCTCACAGCTCATTTCTATTCCCTTCTCTTATTTTTTCCTACCCTCCACACAACACAGTCTGTCTAATATCCTTTCTCTCTTTTTACTTGTTTGGGTTTTTTGGTATAATTTTTTATTCTTTGTTTTTTTGTGCCCCCCCATTATTTCTTCTCCTTCACCTATGCACTCTTTGAAATACTCTCAATATCATCAATACTTAATTTGATCTACCTGCTATAATGTATTACTATACTGTGACTCATCCCAGGTTAAATACTGGAGACTTTCTGTCAAGTTCTTAAGTATTAGATAATCTATGGTTAGCTTCTCAAGTGTTGTTGTTACTGGTAGGTACTCTCTACTCTCAAAGCTGTTCCAGAGGCTGGACGTAGGACACAGAACAGACTGAGTGAGTACAAACACAAAGAGATGTACCCACAATGCAAACACACAAGAGGAAAACACAAAATAGAACCCCACACAAGTGAAGAGACAGTCTATCCAACTGTTCTACAAACCTCTATAAAGAAGCACAATTAAAATGACAAAACAAGGCATCAAGACACCTCCAAAAATATAAAACATAAATTACAGCCAGGCATAGTGGCACACACCTGTAGGCCCAGTACTTGGGAGGCTGAGGCAGAAAGATCACCATAAATGTAAGCCCAGCCTGGACTACATAATGAAACCCCATCTCAATAAATCCCCAAAAGATGATCCCACAATGAATGAAGTGGATCAAATTAGAGAAAAAGAACTTCAGAAACTGACAGTAAAAATGATGAGAGATTAAAGAAAAGATAAACAGGTAGATGTATCAATTATCAGAATGATAAGTGAGTTCAAATAAGTTACAAATAATCAAGCTGAATGAGTTAAAGAAGGTAATGCAAGATATAAAAAATGGTATCAGTAAAGCAACAGAAAAAGTGGGAAAGAACCACACAGAAATCCTAGAAATGAAAACCTCTGTAAGTAAAATAAAACAGTCAACTTTAAGTCTACAGAATGTTTCATTCAATATTAGAATATGCTCTTCCAAGACACCAAGGACTTTGTCCAAAACATACCACGCTCTAGATAATAAAACAACTTTCAATGTATTAAAAAAGTGAAAATAATCTCTTGCACCCTATCACATCAAAATGGAATGAAACTAGAAATTGGCAAAAGGAACCACAGAAATTTAACAAAGCACAGAAAACTGAATAATACATTCTTAATCAATGGGCCACTAAAGACATCAAGAAATAAAAATCTCCTAGACTCCAATGATACAGTCATACCTTGGTACTTGAATTCTTTGAAACCCATCAAATTTGGTACTCAATATATTTTGGCACAAAAATTTTGTCCCAGTACTCAACTGTTTGGTACTTACATAAGCTAGAACTATCAATTGCTTCCTGACTCATTAGCCATTCCAGGCAAAATAATTTGGTATTCATCAGTTGTAGTCCTCATTGTGCCTCTCAGAAGCAGTTGTGTACCAATGTACCACTGTGTTTCAGGAAGTACATACCAGACTCTGTGGGACACAATGAAACCCAATTCTAAGAAGAAAGTTTATAGTTATGAGTGCCTACATTAGAAAAACAGAACGGGGCCAGGGATTTAGCTAAGTGGTTCCACCACCTGCCTCACAAGAATAAGGTCCAGAGTTCAAACCCTGGTACCAAAAAAAAAAAGTAAAATAGAACAAGACCAAATAAACCCTGAAGGTCCTAGAAAACCAAGAACCCAAAACCAGTAGAAAGAAGAAAATAATAAATATAAGCTTGCAAACTTATCACACTGAAACAACAACAACAACAAAAAACGAACCCTTTCACATTGTAGGTGGGAATATAAACTAGTATAACCAGTACGACAATCTATGAGAACTCCTCAAAAGACTAAACATCAAAATACAATTGACCTAGACCCAGCTAAACCATTCTTGGTCATATTCCTGAAAAAATTAAGGACTATATACTAAATTGATACATCCATAACCATGTTTATATCAGTGCAATTCATAACAATTAAGCTGTGGAAACAGCCTAGATGCCTATCAACAGTTGAATGGATAAAAAAAGAAAAACATGGTATATACACACAATGAAATATTATTCAGCCGTAAAAAACAATATAATGCTATTTGCAGAAAATGATGGAACTAGAAACTGGTATGTTAAGAGAAATTAGCCAGATTTAGAAAGGTAAATATCACCTGTTTTCTCTTACATGAGATTACCTAAAATATGCATAAATTAATAAATCAGTAATTAAGGAGAGAGGACAGGAAATCAGGAGGTAGACTTCCAGAGATAACAAAGAGGACAAGCGGAAGGAGGGAAAGGCAGAGTGTGGTAATGAGACTGAAATTTGGACTTCCCAAAGTAACTCCCTTTATTATTTACTATTAACAATGCACTTAAAAAAAGGGCCAGGGCCTGGCACCACACCTGCCTCACAATCACAAGGTCCTGAGTTCAATCCCTGATTTTAAAAAAAAAAAAAAAATCTACTAAAGTAAATACAAGACAGCAAATCATTTAGTTATAGAATTGCAGTACCTCTAAGTGATGAAGAAGAAATACAATTCTTAATTATAATTCTTAATATATGAAACAAAATCAAGGTTTCTACAACATCCAAAGACTTTGCATGAAACACCTTAGTATTTGTAGTCTAATGCTTAGCTGAGAGTCCCAAAGTTAAAATAGATGGCAAATTGAATAATAGTCTTTGACTACTCTTGATGCATCTGCTGTTTTGATCAATTCTGTGTCCTAGGATAGGGCTGTTCCCTTTCTGCAGACAACTGTTGAACAGGGAGAGGGTGAGGCTCTGACTGGCTCATTAAAGCATCCCTGTGCTTTGGTTCAATCTGGAGCCTGTGGAGCTCTTGTTAGAAACAATGTTTGCAAGAGAAAAAGAATTGGACAGAGGACAAATGACTAAACAGAAATAAGAGAAAAAAAGGACAGCAATAAAACAAAATGGCTTAAAATAATCACTAGGCTCATAGCACCTCATAGAGGTAATGTAACATCAGTATTTTCATGTGTGTTTTTTGCCTGCTTATATTTATACATAGTTTTGTGAAAAAAAACTCATGAAAGTTTTAAGAACCCACATTTAGCTCAGTGGTTCCACCACTTGCCTCACAAGCACAAGGTCCTCAGTTCAATCCCAGTACCGGAAAAAAAAAGTTCAATTAAAGAATAAAAATAATGCAAATAAACAGACATAAGAAAAAGAAACAAAACAAAAGAAGAAAAATGAGTTGTAAATACTCCTTGGCCAATGGTTTGAGTTGGTAAAGTTTCCTCCCAGGACCTCCAATACAGTCAGTATATGGAGGAGGTTAGTGAGCTGTGCCTGGGCCTTTTGTATTTCTTCTCCACTCACACCTAAGAGGGTGGCACTGTAGGAATGAGGCACATCAAAGATACACTCTCTGCCTCAAGGTTGCATTCACTCTAGCAGCTTTTTACTGTTTCCTTCTGCACATCCAGAGCTACTGCTAGCCCAAACCATCTTTGAAGCATGTGGACCAGCTGGGTCCCCTATTTACTTCACAGGGCCCAACTCTGGGTCCATGCACCCAGAGGCCAACAATTAATAAATGGGAAGTCTATTCACACAGGGGCAGAAAATATTTCCAAACTATTTATCGAACACGAGATTAATATTCTGAATATATAAGTTCAATTCAATAGAAAAAACATTAAAAACAGCAAGCTGGAAAAGAGGCACACATGTGTAATCCCAGATGAGCTGCTAGGGAGCCTCACTGAGGCAAGAAGAAACGAAGTTCAAGGACAGTCTTAGACAACTATCTCAAAAATAAGAAGAGCTGAGGATTTACCTCACTGGGAGAGTGCTTGCCTATCACGCACAAGGTCCTGGGTTTAATGAGCAGTACTACCCAAAAACAAAACAAACAAAAAATCTGGGCAAATGATCTAAATAGATAGTTCTGAAAAGAGGACATATAAATAGCCTAGAATTATATAAGCAAATGCTTAACATCCTTAATCCTGGGGGATGTAAATCAAACTCATGAGATACTACTGCACTACAGTTAGGGTGGTTATAATCAAAATGAAAAATAACAAATACTGGCAAGGATGCAGAGAAAAGGCCACTCGATACTCTCCTACACTACTGGTGGACATGTAAAATATACAGCCACTATAAAATACAGGATGAAAGAAACAGAACTACCATATGATATAGCTATCCTATCTATGTTCACTCAAAAAAAAATTAACTGTGTTTTAAAGATAAATCTGCACTTTCACATTTACTGCAGTACTATTCACAAAAGCCATGCTGCAGAATCAACCTAGGTGTCCATCAACAGATAAATGGATAAAGAAGATGTGGTACCCATGGAAATATTATTCAGTCATTAAAATAAAAATGAGCAAGACTGGGGATTTAGCTCAGCAGCAGCATAGTGCCTGCCTGGCAAGTACAAGGTCCTGAGTTTGATACCTGGTGTGGAAAAAAAAAAAAAAAAAAAAAAAAAAAAAAAAAAAAAAAAAAAAAAAAAAAAAAAAAAAAAAAAAAAAAAAAAAAAAAAAAAAAAAGAGCAAAATTCTTTCATTTGCAGCAACATGGATAGAACTAGAGGTCATTATGCTAAGTGAAATAAATGTCAGGCACAAAAAGTTATATTGTCACTTATATGAGCAAGTTAAACTGGCTCTCACAGAAACAGAATAAACAGTGGTTAGTGGCTCATGAAAGCATGTGGGAAGAGGGCAGGATGGAGAGAAGAGGCATACAGGGCTGCAACTGGACAGGAGCAAGAACTTCTAATGTTCATAGCATAACTACGCTTTGCAACAATTAATTGACTATTTCAAAAAATTAGCAGACATAATTTTAAAGTTCCCAATACAAATCAACGATATATATGTGAAGTAAAACGCTTGTCAATTACCCTAATTTCATCAATATAAGTTGTATTCATGTATTGAAACCCATGCTCTTCTCTATAAATGTGTAAATGGTACATGATGGCTAAAAATACATAAAAGTAGCACTAAAATTCAGATACAGTTCCTACATTTACTAACCAAAAAGAAAACAATTCTACCAGAGTTGTTGGGGTAAAGGGTTTCACTCACCCAAGGCCAGCAGATTATTGTAGGTCTCCAGCATCACTTCTCTGTAGAGGTTCCTCTGGGCATCACTGAGTTCCTTCCACTCCTCCCATGTGAAGTCCACGGACACATCCTCAAAAGACACCAGCCCCTGTAAGTGAACACTTCTCATCAACCCAAATCTTCAGCATTGGACCAGAAAAACAGGAATGCAGGGTTCCCACTTCTATGTGAAACTGAGTCATGCATGTGTCTTTTGTAAGATGCAGCTTGATTTGTACATTATAGGAGAAAAAATTAAAAATACCTTGCCTCTATGCTAATTTAGTATTCAAAACTAATCATAGCACTCCAGGAGGCTGAGGCAGGAAGATTCCAAGTTGAAGCCTTGCCTGGGGAACTTTGTGACTTATCAAGACCCCCTCTAGAAATAAAAAAATATGTCAAAGGGCAGTGATATAGCTCAGTGCAATGGCCCTAGGATGAATCCCCAGAACCCAATCTCCTCCCCAAAACCAACCAAACAAAAATGGTAAGAGAATTGCTTTCATAGATTTTATTTTGAGACAAGGTCACATTATGTCATTCAAGCTGGCCTTGAGCTCACCATGTAGCCCTGACTGGCCCCAAACTCAAGGGGATTCTCCTGCCTCAGCCTCCTGAGTGCTGGAATTATAGGAGTGTACCACCACACCCAGCTCTCCTTTATAGATTTGGAACTGTTCTTGTTCCTAACAAAAAGAGGATAAATAACATTCTGCTCCTAAAAAGAGCTAACAATCTAGTGTAAAGACTTAAATATAAACACACACTGGAAATAATGTATTCGATAACCTACAGCATCTGTTCAAGGTAGAAAAGAACACTTATGCCTCATAATTACCTTCTGTAAGTCCTATCTCCAAATACAGTCACATCAGGCTGCAGGGACAGGCTTCAACATTTAAATTCTTTGGGGACAGAATTCACCCACAGCATTAACTGTGTTGCTCTTCACTGATGAAAGAATAATGCCTTGCAGTGAAACTCAAAAAAAATTTTAATCCTTCATTCGCCTATGTGATCAAAGGCATTTGAATGGTAATAGTAAGTGTTCAGTTGTAGGAGCCATACACAGGTCTCCATGAGGAATATAAAGAATTAATCCTTTCTCTGGGGCTCTGTACCAGAGAGCAGCAAACCCTCACCTAATCCTTCATGGAGAAGGAGTCTAAAAGAAACAGTTGCTTTTGATCTACTTGGAAACTCAAATCAGCACCATCACAAAACAAAAAAAACTTCATTGGCACCATCACTAGCAATGATAACTATTACTACAAAAATGGTGATCTATGTTATCCTAAATACTAAATGAATAAAATAGTATAAATTCTAAAGAGCTAAAGTAGTTATCAAGTGACTAAATGCCTATTAACAATGTTACCTAAATTAATTGCCACCTAGGTGCTTATTTAGGATAACAAGATAACTTTCACACAATACAAGTCCTATTTTCACATTCCTGTACATTTACAGCTTAAGGAAAATAGGATGAAAAACAGAATGACATAGTACATTTCAGTTATTGTTAAATTCATAAAACAAAACAGGATGCAGGCAGGAATAAAAAAGAATAGGGAGCTACTAAAAATCCGAGGACATGTAAGATTGCAAACTTGGAAAGCAATTCTGTCATCTTTCACTCCTGAAAATATTTAAAGTTGTTCTCACAGAAATACAATAAAAATGCCTTTTAAAAAAATAAATCTCAAGGCAGAGGACTTAGCTCAGTGGTACTGCCACCTGCCTCACAAGTGCAAGGACCCAAGCTCAATCCCCTGTACCAAAAAAACAAACAAACAAATAAATAAATAAATCCCTTCAGGACAAGTAACGATCTTATGACAACATTAAGACCTGTGAATTGATTAAGGTTATCTCGACAAATTATTTAAATTGCTTACAATGAACCAGAGAGAAGACTACAAAATTCTAAGAAAAATGTACTATGCAAAAAAAATATATAACATGCAAAAAAAATATAGAGGCCAGCCTCTCAAAGTTTAGAGATAAGAAGAATGATAAAGACATAAATTTAGCTGGATATGGTAGCATACACCTGTAATCTCAGCACTCGGGGAAGCTGAGACAAGAGAATTTCAAGTTTGAGCCCAGCCTGGGCATCTAAGCAATTTGGCAAGATCATATGAAAATAAAAAAGGAGCCAGTGATGTAGTAGCTCTGTGCAAACGAATTAGGTTCTGTCCCCAGCACCAAAACAAATATGCATATTTTTGAGTGTTAAAACATCATAAAACAATCAGCCTTAAGAAAAACTATAGGTAGATTAAGATTATAAGAAGCTTTCCAAAGCTATAAACAATAAACATGCCTAAAGCAATCCCTAGCTCTTTAGAATACATCTTTAAGTGCGTTCATCCAGCAAAACCAAATTTGTCAAACTTATTTTCTTACGTACTGCAATGGCTATGCTTTTAATTGTTGCACTGATATGGTGATTGTTGGTTGCCAACCCACCTTGCATTACTAGGATGAATCCAACGTGGTGAAAGAGTATGATTACTTTTATATGCTGCTAAATTGTTTCCTTGTATTTTTGAAGGATTTTGTATGTGTATGTTTAAAATACACTGGTCTAATTTTTTATTTTCTTGTGTTATCTTTGTATCTTTGCAGTTTTTGATATCACTGTAATACTGCTTCTTAAAACTGTCCCTACCACTTTTATTTTTTGGACAATTAGGGATGAACTGATATTAAATCTCCAAATGCTTGGCAAAACTGACCAGGAAGTTTATGAATCGAAGATTTTGTTTGTATTACTAACAAAAATCAACTACATACCATCTCCTCACTTGAGATAGGGCTATTCAGATTGCTTTTTAGTCAGCTGTAGTTGTTTGCATTTCTAGAAACTTACCCATTTTATTATATGAGCTGTGTAATATAATGACATATAATTGTATCATTCTTCTCAAAATATATTTTTTTCTGTAAAGTTGGCAGCAATGTTGCCTCCTTAATAATTGATTTTAGTTGTTTGAATCTTGTTTTTTCCTCTGGTCTTATCTCCCTTAACAAAGCTGAAAGAACAGATATATTTAGAAGCTTTGTTATTTCAATCTCATTTATTGTTCATTATTCTTGTCATTTGACTTCATTTGAGTTACCACATGGAGTCATGATGCTAAACATTCTACCCAACCCCACATTTCTAAGCCTCTTGCAAGAACAGGACAAGAGGACTAATCATGGCCACTGAATCACTTCCAAACAAAGCACAGAAGTACTAGTATCCAATCTGAATCATGATCTAGATGTAGAAGCAGTAAGATGGTGACACCACTGGCCTGGGCCAAGTCACTCTAGAGCATCACCTAGCTGATCTGCCTGAGAGGTGAGTGATTTGTCTTCTGTTGCCACTGAGATGAAGTCATTATTTTTTAGTCAAATAAGATGGGTTTAAATTTCCCACATTCCCAGAGCACCTACAAGGAGCAGGGAGACACACGGACCTCAAATGACAAAAGTTGAGGGTTCAGAAAGATAAAACAACAAATATTTTCAGGGCAGAGTCTTGAAGAGAGAGAGTAACATACATGCACGCACACACACACACAAACACACACACACACATGATAGGTGCACATACCCCAGAATATGAAGGTAAATACAGTGCCCCACATACATTGTGGCCAAAGACGATGAACACTGCAAAGAGAGTAGTAATTGGAATGATCCAAGGCCCTGTTAAATGGGGAAAGCTTCCAAATGGGGAAAGCTTCAAAGAGTCTACTGTCCAAAACATAAGTGATGGCCTCCATCTGGACATAGCTCTGTCCTCTGCCCTCCATGTGGATTCCACTCTCTCCAGAAAGCTCATACAGTTTTGGTGATATCCAAACCTTTTCCCTTCAGAATGTCAGAGATAGTGTCTTACTGTCTTCTCTGTTCTTTTACTTTTGACTCTTCCACCACCTGTCCCAGTCTGTAGGCTTAGGGCTCCCTCCCTCATTCTCCTGTGCCCGGAGCTGCCTTTTCCAAATTCTGGCAAATAACACCCAAGTCTCACTGGAGAATCTCTCATCTCTGGAGATGTGTGAGGCCCAGATCCTGTGGGATAACATCATCAGTAAAAGGAGGGTCTTGCCTGTGTTCTTACTTTTGAAGACTCCATCAAAACATGGAGAAGAAAAGCATTTGTGACCACAGGTCAAGGATCACCAGCAGCCACCAGAAAAGCTAGAATGGTTCTGCCCTAGAGTTTCTTCAGGGGAATGTGAGCTTGATAACACTTTGATGCTAGTCCAGTGTCACTGATCTTAGATATAAGTCATCCACAAGTATGAGAAAATTAAATTGCTATTATTTTTGTTTGTTTGTGGTACTGGGGATCAAACTCAGGTCCTTGTGCTTGCAAAGCAGGCGCTGGAACCACTGAGCTAAATCCCTGGCCCTAAATTCCTATTATTTTTAAACCATTAAATTTGAGATGATTTCTTTCAGCAGCAAATAGGAAAACAGGCTTTCCAGTAATTTAAGTCTATGTGACCAAATTTTCATCACGCAAATGTAGCCAATATTAGGGTGGTAGCTGTCAAAACTATGCAACCTTCTAGAAAAAGTAAGGGTGACTATCCTAATGTCAGTAACAAGCACTTCAAGAAGCAGCTTCTTCAGACTGACTGAAGTAATGTGATTCTTATTAGCAGCATCCTTAGAATGTAAGGAAGGTTGTTTGCCTTGAGGAACCATTCCCTTCAAGCTAGACACAGAGATGTCCTTTTTGCTATAAAATACTTCTGATAACTTAAACCTTAACAATCTTTCCTTCTAAAGCTTACTGGGATACAATGCATTATTGTGGGTAACCCTGTTTTATACATGGGGAAGGTTTCTCCAGCTAAAAACGTACTGATCACTGTCATTTGTTCTGGAGATTGGGCAATCTCTTTGTAGCTCCTAGCTTCTGTATCAACTGGGCATTTTGCTGGCTGGTTATTTTTGTCATCTCTTGTGCTGGGTGAATATGACAGTGTCAACCTTGGAGTCCTATCCTGTTGTTTACTGGTTAATAGGGACTGGTCCCACCAATGTCTTTCACTTGGTTCAAGTAAGGGGTGTTATGACTTGCTTGAGTCTCTTAGTGTC